CGTGTCGTGTTGTGTGTTGTGTGCGTCAGAGCAGATCACGCATAGAGAAGAGGCGGGACGCCTCCGGGGGGGAGCACGCACCTGTGGATGGCCGCGAGGGCAGGGAGCCCCCGACCTTCTGCACCATCTCCTCTCGTTCCTGCTTCCAATCGTTCAGGCATTTCTGGAATGCTGCGCTGTCTTCGCGCGAGTAGAAAGCGAACCCCCACGAACCCTCTGCCACACCGCACACACCCCACACACCGCACACAGCCAAATACGAGTCAACACCAAACGAGTGGCCATGGGTGGCTAGTATGGCGAGTCGGGCTCGGGTACCCTCCTCGGGGATGGCGAAGTAGCGCATCGAATCCTTGGTCGGTACCAGGATGGCCGCGTCTTGTTTTTCCACTATCATACATTCGGCATCCTGCCCAACGAGAATCGATGAGTCGTGTGCGTGTGCGGTGGTGTGTGCAGTGGCGTGTGCAGTGGTGCGTGTGGTGCGTGTGGTCGACGTCGTGGTCGACGAGTGGCGTGTGCAGTGGTGCGTGTGGTGCGTGTGGTGCGTGTGGTGCGTGTGGTGCGGTGTGTGCGTGTGGTGCGTGTGGTGCGTGTGGTGCGTGTGGTGCGTGTGGTGCGTGTGGTGCGTGTGGTGCGTGTGGTGCGTGTGGTGCGTGTGGTGCGTGTGGTGCGTGTGGTGCGTGTGGTGCGTGTGGTGCGTGTGGTGCGTGTGGTGCGTGTGGTGCGTGTGGTGCGTGTGGTGCGTGTGCCCATACCTGGTCGTAGAGGTAGAGCATGGCTGTGCCTCGGACAGAATTCAACACGAGCGAGACCAAGCCGTTGATTTCGGCTGGTGGCCACACCGAGGCCCTGTCATCCACCCACCTCAAACGATGAGCAACCCCACACCACACACACACGCACGCGCACTAGCACAATGGACGTACAATCGCATCTTCTCGGCTTCGTTGGGCACGTTCATGCACACGGAGACATACCACGTGGTTGAGGCGTCGAAATAGATCTCTTCGATCTCGTCCTCACCCTCCGTGACGCCCCCTGTGTGTGTGTGTGTGTGTGTGTGTCAGGATTCTGTTCCATTCCCTTGCGTTTATCATCGCGCCATTGACTTGCCCGGGAAAATGAAGGGAAGGCCGCGATTGCGCACCGTAGACGCTGCTTCGCTTGCCCACCAACTCCTGTCGATCGCCGTAGACCGATCCGCCGCTCTTCCACTCGCTCGTTTCGCCCCTCTTCTTCTCCTGTGGTTTGGTTTGGTTTGGTTTGGTTTGGTGGCATGAACCAGATCCGTGATGAGCAAGAAGAAGAACGAAGAAAGAAGAAGGAAGAAGAAGTGGTGTGGAGAAGGTCACCTCTTCGCTGGGCAGATCCCTGAAGTCTGTGCGCTTGATCTCGAGTGTTGTTCGGTCGCACAGACGGGGCAAGTCTGTTCCCACGATCAGCTGCGTGCGTGCGCGTGCGGTGTACGGTTGTGTTGCGTGTGCGGTGTTGCGTATGGTGTGCGCGTGCGGCCACACGCGCGGACAATAACGAAAGCAATGGTCGCGAAGAACGAAGAGGAGCGGAGAAGGGCGTACCGCCGTGAACGGGAAGGCTAGAGATGGGCTTCTGCCACATCTTCGTCAGTTCCTCCTTCAGGTCCCAGTGCATCGACACCGGCCGCATCCCTGCTCGTTAATTGGCGATTTAATTTAAATTGAATTTCTTTCCGCAGAGAATCAATGGAGGGCAGGCAGCAGAGCTCATTTGCGGTTGAAGGGGGGCGACGTACCTGTCTTGGCATCATGCATTTCAAAGGGATGGTCTTTGTCGCCTCGGATCTTGACCCGCACCTTTCGCAGCGTATTCCGCCCCAGAATCTTCCTCATGCTGTCTTACTATATGTATCCAATGAATCTATGCGCGGGGTGGTCTTCAATTCTTTACACCTTGGCCGTTGTTGTCAGCTCCCTACAATCGATTTCCGTTCCGTCTGTTGTTTTTAATTCAAATTTAATTATTAAAATAAATAATTTATATATGAAACATTCCAAGTATGCACCTGTGCTTGGGTCACCCTCAGCCCAGCAGCTTCCTGACCTTTTCGAAGACGACCCAGAGCACAGCGTTGGCTGGGACCGAGCGGAGAATGCACGGCGTCCAGCCTCTGAAGAATCGCTTGACGCCCGCCTCCGCGTACAATGTCCTAACACACACACGAAGCGAACGCAGCGAAGAGGTGAGCTCGAATCGGATCTATAGAAGGGTGGTGGCGGGTCTCGCAACCTTGCGCAGTGTACGACGTTTTTGTACTTGCGCTGGTGCTTGTCCAGGGCATCAGCTTGCATGCTCGACTGTTGTGTGTGCGCTACCCACAGTCAGCCATAATACCATCCTGTGCAAGCACACACACACGACACACACGACACACCACACACCCCGCGCACCTTGATCACATCCGTAGGATAGGTGAGCAGCCAATAGAGGAGTCCTCCCGTGCCGCCGGCCGCGAGGTACTTCCAGCCCTCCTGCCGCGCGCGATTGGAACCAATGGGAGTCAGGCTCGCCCAAGCAGGGGACGCGCGAAAGGTTACCGGGGGGGAGCGGTGTACGAGTGCGGCTGTGGACTGGCCTGGCCGCGCGAGCGCTCGTCGCGCGAGCTCGTTGAAGCCGAAATAGAACGAAAACGCCGGCGTGTTGCGGAGGAGCGTGGCGCCGAGCCCTTGTCACAACAACCATTGGGGGAACGATTCGTGTGAGATCTGGAAAAACGAACACACACAACACGACGCACGACACACGACACACACCGCACCATCGCACCACAGCACCACCGCACACACATGTTACCTTGGTAGATGCCTCGCAGCCCGTAGTGCTTCGTGATCACTCGCGCGCATCCGAACACATTCTGTTTTATCACACCGTCAGCGCGACGTGTCTCATGGGGAGCACCGAAGGGCACGGCGTACGTTATAATGGTGGGCTGACGTGCGTGGTGTGCCCTGCTTCTCTGCCAAGATCTGGACTTGCACCTGCGACTTGAAGAGGTCGATCGGACCCTCAACGAAGCTGACGACGGCGCCCGTCATCATCCCGGCCAGGAAGTGGCCCACTGGCGGCAGACTCTCGACGCCCAACGCTCGCGCCACCCACGCCTTCGACTGTCCGAACGCTGGCGCCATGGAATAGTAATAAATAATATAAGTAAATAAATATAAATATTCACACAAATATTTATTATGTTTATATACATTTAAATAAAAATAGTACGCAAGGAAAAGGGTACAGGTGAAGAGGCAGGCGCGGAAGAACATCTGCCCCACCAGTGGTGAGGCCACTCCCTTGTACAACCCACCGATCCCTTCCCATCTGCAGTGTTTGGGGGGAACGATAAGAATGAAGGAGTCGAAGTAGAAGATGAGGAGGCGCACTTGAGGGTCTTGACGAGGCAGTCCCAGGTGTTGCGGTAGAGCAGCGTAGCTGGAGCGGCAGCACTGCCGCCCTGGGTTTGAAGACGCACCTTGAGCGTGTCGAACGGGTGGCCCACTGCACAAATGGCCACCCCGCCCACCGTGCCCGCAGCCACATCCTTCCACGCCCCTGCCATCTTTAGCTGTTTCTCTTGCCCTTGCTCACTCTTCAGGCCCTGCACCAAGGCCAATTAATCAGTCCTTTTCCTCTTCAATTTCTCTTGATTTCCTTAGTTGCGCAGTGGTGTGTTCGGAGGCAAGGAGAGGTATGATGAATGATGTTTTATGGTCACAAAGGTCTGCCCCAAGAGGGTGCAGGTAACGAAAAGTACACATATGTGGCTTGCCGAGAGGATGTAGCTCGCATTCTCTCAAACAGAGATGAACAGAGGAGGTAGAAGAGGAAGCGTTTAGGCGCAGGTGACGGAGCCAAGGGCGACGGTGGGGGCGTCGGGGGTGGTGCCCTTGGCATAGCGCTCGACCACGCCGGCACCCTGGCTGGCGCCGACCTGGAGGTTGCCGTAGTTGAAGGCGACGTTGAACACGGCGGCCGAGACCTGGTTCAGCTCCCACCACTGGCTGATGCTGGTGCCCGAGGCCAGGGTGAAGGTGAGCTGCGCGCCGTTGATGGGCTTGCTGCCGGCGTTGTTGATGGTGAGGTCGTAGATCTGGAACGAGAAGGCACCGTCGTCCCACTTGCCACCCTGGGCCTCCGACCGAGCGACCAGCGCGGCCTTGGCGGCGCAGCCCTGGGCGGGCGACGGCTGCGGGGTGCTCACGATCGGGCCGGACGACGACGAGGGCGAAGGCGAGGCCGACGGCGAGGGCGAGGCAGACGGGGCGGTGCCGTAGTTGCAGGTGGCGACGCCGGGGATGAAGCCCGGGGCGGTCTGCTGGCCGGCCGAGAGGGGCGAGCGCACTATGTAGCCGGCACCCTGCGAGGCGCCGACCTGGATCGGGCCGTAGGCGGTGGGGATGATGAAGACGTCGATATCGGCGGCCTCGCGCTGGAGGTTCCAGAACTGGTAGATGAGATCATCGTCGCCAGCGAGCTGGAAGCTGATCTCGCCCTGAGTGATCGGGTACGAGCCGTTGTTGGTGATGACCAGGTCGTAGATCTGGAACTGGAAGTCGCCCGAGGTCCAGTGGCCGTCGGTGGTCGTGCGGGTGGTCTGAGTCACCTTCATGGTGCAGCTCTGCGGGGTGAGGCTCGGCTGCGGCGTGGCGACGATGGTGGGCGCGGCCGACGACGAGGGCGACGGGGGCGGCGGGCGAGGCCGAAGCCGACGGAGCAGCGGGCGAAGCGGAGGCCGACGGGGCGGCGGGCGAGGCCGACGGGCTGGAGCTGCCGCAGGACTTGGCGGTGACGGTGATGGTGGCCTGGGCCGAGGTCTTGATGATATAGCCGAACTGGTGGACCTGGCCGGCTACGATGCCGCCGTTCTGGATGCGGTAATCGGGCAGGCGGTAGCTGCCGTCGGCCTCCTTGACGAGCTCCCACAGCTGCTCGAGGTCGCCACCGGTGATGGAGAGGGTGACGGAGGTCACGGCCTCGGAGCCGGCGACCAGCTGGGCGTTCCACTGGGAGTAGGCCTGGCCGTTGGAGGTCCAGGCGCTGCCCAGGGTCTGCTTGACGGTGACGCTGCACTCGGCTGCGGCGTAGGCCAGGAGGACGGCGAGGAAGAAGAGGGAGAGCTTCATGTTGTTGTTGTTGTTGTTCAGCTCCACGTGTTGCTGTAGTTTGCAGTGGTGGGCTTGCTGTTGTTGGTGAGAATGGTTAGAGATCCCTGTGCCGCGCCGTTTTATACCTGGTCGGTTGTGCGCGGCTCTTTGGCGAGAGCCACTGAAAACTCAGGTATAAATTGGTCGGCCAATGGCAGTGTGAGGTTGCAGTCATCCGGAGCAGGCACCAGCCAACAACATCAGCATGTCAGTGAACTGAGGTGGAATATCATAGAAATGATATTGCCAAGGTGGTACATACTCATACCCCCTTGAGAACGGGCCACCTGCGTAACATCCGCCACGAGCCGCTCAGCCGGCGCATGGCTGGCTGACCTCGCTGGTCTGGAGCACAGACCCTGGGCCGCGTTCGTGTGTGCCTTGCGATGTCGTTAAGGTGGCGGTGCAGAGGAAACGGAAAAGGCACCAAAAGGGGAGCGATTTCTCGTCGGCACTTACGCCGGCCTGCGCTCGGATTGGCCGGGACAAGGGCCTTCTGAAACGACGCGTTGCGTTTTCATCGCCCAACAGACCTAGCAGCACTCGCCACACTCTCCACGCACGCCAGTCAGAGCGCACAACCGCACCAAGCACCACCACTACCAACCACACGCACAGTAGCTTTACCATCATGTCTCTGGTCTCGTTCCTCACCTCGCACCACGCCGGCGAGCTGGTGTTCGACAAACTCGAGCTGCACGAAATCGATGAACACACCACGGTCCAGCAGGCCCTGAAGGTGCGTTGGAGCTCTTCTCTTCGTCTCCTTGTTCAACGCTCTCTATTTCTCTGGTCCCCCTGGGCTGCCTGCACGCACTCACGACACAACGCGCCACACAGATCTTGAAGGAGAAGAACATCAGGGCACTTCCGGTCACGCGCACGGAGGGTGGAAAGAAGAGCTACACGGGAATCATCTCCTCGTTCGACCTCATGGCCTTCATCGGCTTCGCCTCCTACTTCAGGTTCCGCCCCTTCGCCTTCTCTTCGTTCTTTTGTCTCTTTCGCTCTTTCTTTTCTTGGCGCTGACGTTGGGGGAGGGCAGCGACCTGGTGGAGGCGAAGACGGAAGAAGAGAAGGCGAAGGCGTTCGGCGAACTGCAGATCGCTACGACGATCGTGAAGGACCTGGTGGGCCAGGTCTCGGCTGAGGGCCGCACCGTGTGGACCTTCGCCCCGACGCAGAGCCTTCTCCCCGTCTTCGACTACTTTTCCAAGGGTACCTACCACAGCACACATCAGCACAGCATCGGCTTGAGCAGATGTTGACGATGAAGAAGAAGGAAGAAGCAACGCGTACCTCTTTTGACCCTCTCGTGCGGGCAGGCGTGCATCGCGCGCTGGTGGAGCAGAAGGACGATCACACGGGCGCGCTGAGTTTCAGGCTCCTGTCGCAGACGGATGTGATCTCCTTCCTCGGCGCCCACATGGGCAACCCGTCCCTTGCGCGGATCTTCAGCAAGCCGTACGTACAACGCCGCCACAAGATTGAAACGTTCAGTTATATAACCTGTCCCACACCATACAACGCGCACGCAATCAGAATTGAGGAGCTGAACCTGTGTAATCCTCTGGGCCGTGGCTCGCGCGAGCCGGAGCTCGTCACCATCTCCACCAAGGAGACGGCGTTGGAAGGTATGCGCTGCCGTCTCTGCGTATTCTGAGCTGTGATAGCCTAGTGGGTGCTGATGAGAGGGCGTACCTGGGTGTTGAACAGGTTTCCGGGTGATGCACGTGAAGGACATCCAGGCCGTGCCTGTGGTCGACGACCAGGGCGTGATCGTCTCCACCCTCTCGACGTCCGACACCAAGGGCCTCGATGCGAACAACATCACCAAGTGCCTCCTGCCCGTCATCGGTTCGCGCACTATGCTGCTCTTTAGTCTGCTTAGGTGGTATTGACGCACCATTTCTCTGTACGTGTGACCGAGAGTAGACTTCTTGAAGGAGATGCACGGCGGGCGGCTCATCCACCCGATCACATGCACGCCGAAGGATACTCTTGGCGAGGTGGTCCTCAAGATGAAGGTCGCCACCATCCACAGACATCAGGTTCGTCCTATTCTTTGTGAAAGAGGGGAAAGGGTAAGACTGACACTGAGTGGTGATGGGGCGATCGTACAGGTGTGGGTCACCAACGCCGAGCGGAAGCCGATCGACGTGGTGTCAATGAGCGACGTCCTGCGCACCCTTCATGCCGCGGCACAGAAGGAGGAAGGGGGACAGTAAAGCAGCCACGGCACATCCATGCGCAACCACCCGCGGATATCATTATTCTCCATCTTCTATCGCAGCTGCATATACTTTCCTCTTCCCTCAGCCAGTGGGTCAATGCTTTAGTGTGCGCTAGGCGTACGAGAGTCGTTCCAAAAGAAGGAAAGAATCATAACCGTGAGGCCGCACCGCTCAGTCCACGTTGTCCAAGCTGTCCTCTTCTGCAATGCATCAGAAGGAGCACGCTGTGAGTTTTAGTAACCAACGCATGGTATTGCGTATTGTTTGACACGCACCGTTCATGGGCATGATGGACATCCTAGAGAACTGGCCCCCCACCTCGTTGCCGCTTTGGTGCTCCCCGCGACCTGCGTGACCCGGCGAACGTTAGCGTAGGTTGGTGAGAATCAGGCATGCGCCCAGGAGTACCAGCAAAGTAGTCGTATTCACTCGCAGGGTAATCCTCCTCGTCCGTGTCGTCTTCGTACTGGCCTTCGTCTTCGTCATCATCGTCGTCGTCATCGTCGTCATCGTCATCGTCGTCATCATCTTCGTCTTCTCCTTCGCTGTCGTCGACTCGGTAGCTCATGGCGCGGTCACTATGGAAGTCGACTGCACAGATAGCGAGGAAGACACTATTAGCTGAGCTCTGATAGCAGCGAAAATGGGAAAGGGCACCTTCAGGGAACTCCCCCGAGAAGTCGAGGAACTCTTCAAGAGAGAATCCGGGCTGGGTTGCGCTGACGACGTCCTACAAGATGATAGTAGTCCGCTCAGTGCACTGCTGTCACAGTAGAGAGGAGATGGCCGAACGCACCTCCGAAATAATATCGAGGGGACGGGTCGGGTGGGGCATTTGCAACACTACACCCGCCAGGTTGACCACCTTCACGCGAGGCTCCAAGAAGGTAGCAAAGTGTTTGCGCTCATCCTAAAGGAAAAGAGCAGAGTCAAGGACAAGGAGCGGATGGGGATGTGAGAGGGAAGCAAACTAACCTCGTTGAGAGTCTTGTGGGTGACTCTCACCGGCTCCTTGACGGTGGGCGGGTGAAGCGCGAACAACACACTCTGGTCCTAGAACCGAACAGGTTACACAAACAACTCTTCGGAGCAGTACGAGAAAATAGAAGACTTGAATCTTACCTGAGGATCATCGGTGCGATCATAGGTGACCATAAAATGATGGGCCTCGGGGAACGAATGCACGGCCAAGTGCGAGGGGGACGAGTACATCCCTGTATTACGTAAAGTGTTATGAAAGCAACACAAAGCGCACCAACGAAAGAGGATAGGCACCTGCAGGGAGTTGTACAACTCCAAGTTCGGTCAGTCCGGTGGGGTTGATCTGCAAGGGCACAAGGATATTCAGGCCTGGCCGTAACAGTACATCCTAAAGCAGCAGATCATAAATACCTGGAAGGTCGTGACCAGAGTTTCGCTCTCCCTCCCCGTGGAGACAACCACACCCAGAGTTGCTTGTTCATCCAGAAGACCGGCAAAGACCGCTTGAGCTCCCAAGGTCTTGCAGAGCTCGAGAGGCTTCAGTTCTGCGAATATGGTGCGTGAGGGAATGTCAATATGGAGGAACACGAGGCGTGCGGAGCAACGATATTGTGGTACCGGTCTTGTCGTGGAGCTTAACACGACCGCGTACAGCTCCAAAGTCTCGCTTGAGCGCAAGATCCATATCCAAAAGGGTGTACTGGTGTAGTGGGCAATTGAATAAGTTGAGCTCGGAAATGATAAGTGAGGGGGGATGGGACAAACCTGCACGACGACGGGGTAGCCATCTTCTCCAAGGACGAGGAAGACGATGAACTCGTTCGTCAGGAAGAGAAGCTCGCCGGGAAGAAATCCATACCACTTCAAGTCGTGGATTGTCTTCAAGGTATCATCCTCGCGCCACAGGTACCTGATGAGCTGTTTGTCAGTTGTGCTAGTAGAGGCTCTGGCGCGATAGACAACGAGAAGAGTACCACATGCGATGCTGAATCCCATCGTGGGTGCTGTAGGTCAGCAGGTACTTGCCGTTGGGTGTGTAACCTTTGACGACAAGTGAATCGGACATGGGCAGAGTCTTCTGGTTGGTGCCAACTTTGTGGCGCAGGAAAAGGTCCGAATGACGAAGGCATGCGCGACCGCGAGCCTGTCGTGGTTGGAACCATCAAAAGTCAGCAATGAGAGCGAAGGTGCAATTCGCTCTCATTGCATCATACCTGGCCCGAAGGCTGGCCCTGCGCCTTGGCTGCGCCTCTGCGGGCTTTGATGATCTTGCGACCAGCCTATACAGGTACGAAGCATGAGCAATCGCCACACGAAGGAAGGACATGAGGCAAGAGAGTCGGCATACCGCCGCTTCGGCCGTGAGTTTGTTCGCCTTGGGCGCTTCGCCGCGCCTCGCTCGGACGATCTTGCGGCCATCCTGCTCAAGAACCATGAGCGGCACTAAAAAGAGGTATCGAGCAGAGCATGTTTGTACCTCCTGTTGAAGCTGGGGCTTGAACTCGAACGCCTGTTGTTCCTGGACCACGCGACCTTTTGAAGAACAGCTGAATGAGCCTCGACTGGCTTTGCGTCTGTGCACCACGAGCGACAGGGAGCGTACCGTGGCTTGGCTGCTTTCCCTTGGGTCCCTTCTTCTCACCTCCGCGCTTGCTCAAATCGAAGGGTGACACCGGCTGGGTTGAGTTTGATTAGAACACGGCTGCTAGCGCCGCTTTAGAGTTCAGGCAGAGGGTGGGATGATGCCTTACCGTTTCCTTTTCCTTGCCCTTGCCCGTGTCCAGAGCAGGAGAAGCAGCAGCTTCCGCGCCAAAGACGAATGGCGGAGGAGAGGCGGTAGTCGTAGGAGAGAAGGGCGAAGACGAGGCCGCGAACGGGGTAGAGGGAAGAGACGTCACCGAGGGCGAGGGTGCAGGACTCTTCCTCGCGATCACTACCTTCTTTCTCGTGGCTCCTCCTCGCACCGGGCTGACCGCTGCGCGCAAACGGTTAAGCATGGCCAGAGGTCATGAGGGTTGTTGTGCGCCGCAACTTGGATCCCGTACCTGGAAGTTGTTGCGCAGCACCGCCAAAGACGAAAGGCGCCTCTTGCCCAGAGCTAGGGGAAGCGTAAGGTGATGAGGGTGCACCGAAGGTGGGTACTGTTGGCGGTGGTGAACAGTCAGACCAGAGGAGGAAAACGAGAGGAAAGTGCAGGTATTACCTTGAGACCCAAACTGGAAAACGGGCGAGGGCGTGCTTGTGCTCGCGAACGTCGAGGAGAGGGGCGATGAAGCACCGAACACAGGCGCACCAGGCGAGAAACTGCGCAGCAAATGAGAAATCAAATTTGCGCACTCGGAGATCGCGCTTGGGACAGGTGCTGTACCTGCCGAAAGCGGCTTTGGGGTCAGGGCTGGCCGAAGGAGGAACGAATACGTGCCCAGCCTGGGCATTGCCGCCAAAAACGAAGGGGGCTGTGCGGACATAGGGGCAGAATGAGAATCGCGTTTATCTACAGCTTTTTGGGTCCGGCAGAGATACGCTGTACCTGAATGAGGCGAGTCCATCCTGATTCAATTCTTGGCTTCTCCGAAATCAGAGTGAAAGCAACAGATGCAGGCTTTCGTTTCTTTCCCATTTTCCGTTTCGCGCCAAATCGTTGGTATGCCAAGTATGTGTCACAGCTCCCACGTGGGCCTGTACTTCTGCAGACCAGCACAACCATCAACAGCACCACTCCCGTTGGCTCTTTTTAGAAACAAGGCTAAGGCCAGCTCGTGAACCATCTCTCTCGGCACTCTTCTCTTGCTCCCTTTGATGGAACGCCTGCCTTCGAGTTCGACCGATAGCGCTGCCCTGGACCAGCTCTCTGCCTACCTGGAGCGGCTGGGTTGGCCCTCGGCTACCCCTCCGCCCCCGACCGTGGACACGCTGCTACAACTGCACGCGCTCCACGTCCGCAACGTCGTCTTCGAGAACCTCGACCTGCACTGCGGCCGGCACATCTTTCTCGACCTCCCCACCCTCTTCGCCAAGATTGTGGAACGACGCCGAGGTGGCTTTTGCTTTGAGGTGCCCACAGCCTCCCTCAAACATTCATCTCTTCCTCTCCAGCCTGTAGAGCATCTACGCGATATTGGCGTAGCACTGACGCACACTCCTTCGTTCAGCTGAACGGCCTCTATGCGCACATGTTGGGCCTGCTGGGGTTCAACGTCGCACTCTACCCAGCTCGGGTGTTCGTCGAAGGCGCGTGGAGAGACTCCATGAGCCACTGCGTCACCGTGGCCCGGCTGCCGCGCCAAGTCCAGGAGGGCTCCGCCACAGCTGCCAACGGCATCAATGAGGAGTCGGCCAAGGAGGAGGTCTGGATCAGCGATGTGGGCTTTGGTTCCTCGCCTCTCATTCCGCTGCGGTACGACCGGCTCGGGGAGGAGCAGGAGGGCGACGCCGAGTGGACGGCCTTCCGCTTCAGCAGGGTCGTGAGCGACGTGCCCGCGGACAAGGGGACCGAGTGCATCCTGCTCGAGCGGTGCGCCAGAGCGGACGGCCAGTGGCAGAAGAACCTGCTCATCTACCTCCAGCCGCAGACCCTCGCCCAACTCGTACCGAGCTGCGAGGCACGTACTCTGCCAGCTCTGTGGCTGTCGCTAGCAGACGACTTACTCGAGAGTTGTGCTGGCGCAGGCCCTGCAGGCAGATGAGTCCGCGCACTTCAACAAGCGAATCTTGGTCTCGGTGGTGACCGACACGAAGCGAACGACGCTGAGCGGCGCGCGACGCTTCGTCACGACCACCTTTGCCGACGGCAAGCGGGAGGAGACCGACATTTTGGCTCCCTTGGGGTCATCAGCGGAGGACAACCTGCGAGAGAAGGAGGTCTACGCAGAGGTCCTCCGGCGCGAGTTCAACATCGTGCTGACGCCGGACGAACAGCGGGCGCTCGACCTCGAAACCTCCAAACGCAACTCGAGCATACTGTGATGAATGATCGACGACGATGGTTTCATTCAACTATCAAAGCTAAGCTTACGCGCTCTGTTGGGCGCTGAGGAGCGTGAGGACAAACGGGTTGTTGTGGCTCATCAGGCGCTCCCGCATGCCCTTCATTCGCTGCATCGCCTCGGCTGGCGACAGCGAGTCCTGTGGTGGCGTTGGCATTGATGTCAATCGAGAGAGTTGCATCTTCATGATGGTGAGATGGTGTAGGCAAATGCGCAGTGTTCGTACCAGGGGCAGCTTCTTGAAGTCGTCCAGGAACTGCCGCACAAGCCGCGTACCTTCCTCCTCCGCGCCCTCGGTTCGCGGTCGCTTGACGGCGGAGGCCGCCCCAGCACCGGGCTTACTCGTGGGCCGCTCTCTACCATAGGGCGAGCCAAAGACGGTGTAAGACCGGCAGACCACTCCCACGAAAAACTGAACGGGAGAGGCGCGCACCTCTTCTGGCCCACGCCGCTCGTGACGCCCTTGCTCTGGGCCGTCTTCTCCAGGGTTTCGACCTTCTGCTGTGCCACTTCGATGACGCTGGGAGGGAAGCCGGCCAGTTCGGCGATGTGGATGCCGAAGCTCTTGTCCGAAGGGCCTTGCTTGATGTTGTAGAGCAGCACCAGCTTGTTATCCGCCGTCTGCGCCGTGACGTGCAGATTCTTGACTGTCGGCCACACACGGGAAACGGTAAGAATTTAATGTACCAAATAACACCAAATAATAATACGAACAATAGCCAAATGGCAGGGCTGCTGACCTTTAGGAATGTGTTGCTCGAGCGCGGTGAGCTCGTGGAAGTGCGTGGCGAAGAAACAGAAGCATCCAATCTTGTTGATGATGTGCCTGGCGGAAGAAAGCGAATTAGGGTCGTGACCATAAGAGAGAGAGAGAGAGGCAGATGGTCGAAGTGTACTCGGATATGGCCCAGGCGAGGCCAAAGCCGTCGTAGGTGCTCGTGCCGCGGCCCAACTCGTCGATGATGATCAGCGAGCGCTGTGTAGCAGCCTTCAGGATGGACGACGTCTCTTGCATCTCGGCCATGAACGTCGACACTCCCCGCTGTCATCCGAACAAAAAAATAAAATAAAATAAATCAGCTGATTGTCTTATCGATCGGCGAAGCCCCAGTCAGTGCGAAACGAACTAGCTGTGAATCGGAAGCGCCCAGGCGACACATGATACAGTCGACGACGGACACCACAGCAGTCGAGCAGGGCACGAACGAGCCTGCCCAGGAGAAGAAGCACCACGACGTTGTCAGCCAGTGGGGGGTTAGACTACTGACCACGACCGGGAGTGGGCCACAGCTAGATAGGGGTCGCACCGATCTGCGCCATCAGCACGATGACGCCCGCGGAGCGGATGTAGGTCGACTTGCCGCCCATGTTAGGACCGGTGATGATCTGGAAAGACGAATCGTCGCGCTTCATGATGACGTCGTTGGCGATGAAGCCGACGCCATCCTGCAGCTCGAGGCAGGGGTGCCGCGCCTGCTTGAGAATCACGTCGCCCGTGCCGCTGGGCGTGAGGCGAGGCCGCACGTAGCCCGCCGGCGCGTTCACCGCCACATGCGCCAAGCTGGCCCCGCCATAATAGCGCACACTCAGCAATTCAGCAATTTCAAAAATCCAGCTCCGGGTCTATATGCACCTCACGAAGACATCGAGGTCGGCCAGCAGGATGCTCAGGTCCTCCACCAAAGGCACGTAGGACGCTGCAACAACAAGCGCCGCGGGCGGGTGGGTCAGTGGACACGGACTGGTGCCGGGGGGGGGAGGAAATGAAGTGGGTCGGACTCACACGGAGGAAACGTACCGACGCACTTGATGATCTCCAGCACCAGCTCCTTCTGCTTGGCCTGAATGCACTCCTCCAGCTCGGTCCACCGTCGGCTCTGCTTCGTCAGCAGCGGGGTCGTGATCTGGGGTCCATAACTATTGTTGAGAACACAGGGTCCATCCAACACGAGACACGCACACGGCGTTCTCAGTACCCGCATGGCTTTGGTCGTATCCTCGAGCACGCTCCAGTCCCGCTTGGATTTGATCAGCTTTGTCGTACTCGCCTGGTAATGATCGAAAGGTTGGTGTTGGCACCAAACGTGGCATCGCATAGTACGGTACGTACCTTCTTCGGAACGACGATGTGCCACTCGTGAACCTTCGAGTTTTCGAGCTCGACGCTGTCCTTGTCCCGCTTGTCCGCCCCCAGTTCTCGTTGAACCTGGTGCACACCACCCAACCAAGAGAGCAAGAGTTTTAAGCAAAAAAGAAAATAGTTTGCTGATCAAGGGGTTGGGGTCCCCTACCGCACGGAAGATGGTGTCAATCTTCTGCTTGACCTGCTCCTTCTCCTTGCACCACTGGGTGAACTCCGGATCGAACCTGGCGTTGATCTGGTATTCGTTGTTCTGCGCGGCGTCGAGATCGATGCAGCCCTCGATCAGCCTCTGGAAATCCGAGAACTCGTCGATCACCCTCTGCGCACGATCCCATGATGATAAGGCGTCGTAAGAACCCCGAAGAAGAAGACGAAGAAGCAAAGCAAAGGCCTCACGGGCAGGTGTGGTGCGTACGGCCAGTTCGTCGGTGTACTGCTCGTGAAGGAGTCCGGCGTTCTTGGTGCTGTAGGCTGACAGGGTGGCGTGCATGGACGGGAGCCGACGGTAGATGTCGTACAACACAACACAGTCCTGCGCACCAACAAAAATAAATAAATAAATAAATAAAATGCAACGTAGAAAAAATCGTTCCAGCAACACGTGGTTGAGAGAAGATGGACCTTGAGGGAGGCGGTGATCCTGGTTCGCTGGAACTTCTTGATGAGGCGGTCGATGTCCGTGATGCGTCGGAAGTGCTCCTGCATGGACTGTCGCAGCTCCGCATCCTCCACAAATATCTCCACTATGTTCTGCCTCACCTCTGTTGGCGGAGCGAAGTGGTGGCCACGGCCGGTTGAGCTGAAGCCACACAAAAGTAGGCGGCAGAAGCACCACTTACCAATGTCGTCGATGTTGAGAAGCGGCTGTTTGATCCACTGTAGAAGGCGCCGAGAGCCCATCGCCGTCCTGCATTTGTTCAACAGGCCGTACAGACTGAAGCTCTTGTCGGCTGCATTGTCCAATCGGCCGCAAAATAGGAGAGTCAGTGGGGCCTCTACCCTTGCAAAAGTGACGTAACCGAAGGGGTACGCGTACTGTCGGTGGGCGAAGGGAACAGATTGAGCGCGCGAGAGGCGGGCTGGTCGATTCGCATGTACTTGGAGAGATCCAGCGTCTTCAGCTGATAGCTCCGGAAGTTGTCCTCGTCGCTGAGCAACTTGGAGAGTTCAAAATGGAGAAAGATGCAATGATTAATGCGTGTCAGTCAGAAAGCTGTGATCAATACAGAGCCATTGCAATCTCAGAACGCTGAATGTGTACCTCCATGTGCTTGATTATGGCGGCGAGCGAAGACATGGCGCAGGAGTGCTCGAGCGCTTGGTCTAGTTATAGAGTCAAAAGGTTAGTGAAGCAAATAGCGCCCCAAAGGGAAGGAAGGAAGGAAGAGATTGAGTACGCAGGTTGTTGGCCATGTCCTCTCGCACAAGACGCGACAGGTCTTGTTCAATATCCTGCGCCTTGAAGTGGGCCTTCTTGACCTCCGTCTTCATGATGCCGCATCGTTCGAGAAGGCCGTCCAGCTTCTTCATCTCGATTTCATCCCTCGTACCACCGGGCGCAAGGATACACTCCCTGGCACCAATTTGAAGCAGAAGCGACTGTTGCGTACAAGAAGGGGCAGAGTTAGAAACAGCAGCCTTGAGCTCAAAAAGAATGCGGGTCACGACGAGCTTTGCTTTGTTACCTCGAGATTGGCCAGGTGGATGGTGTCAACAAACTGGCAGTAGCCGATCTTCCTTAGAATGGCATCAGCAAAGGCGGCGCCAACCATCTGCACATCCAGGGTGAACGTGAGCCGTTTGTTGCCAAGTGCGTGAATAGGGTGGTGGCGAAGGGTCAACCTTGTGCTGCCCCTCGACACCAAAGCATATGGCCACACTGACTGCAGTGTCTTCGAGCTCCTTGTTCCTGTACAACAGCTCCTCGAAATCCCTGACGTTGCCTGGCGAAGCCTGCAGCGAAGCGAACACCACAACGGCAAGGCGTCAGACACACAGAACCAATTTGATTGAAGGATATGGTCATAAACGGCGGGTCCAGACCTTCTTCTCTTTGGCCCAGTTGGTTCCGGTCTTGCCCCACACCTCGACCTTCTTGAGCTTCACCAAGATGAGGTCCCGCACGACGTCCTCGTATTTTTCCTGCTTCATCTCCACGGTGGGCAGCTGTTGTGATCCTGCACACAGTATAGATAGAGAGGCCGAGGAGGGAGTTGAGTCCGACAAAGCACAAAAGCTGCAGCGTGGAGGGGACGCGCACCGCTAAAGGTCACGGCAGCAAGGGTACGAAAGTACTCCTGCGCCACGAACTTGGCTGCTTCTCCGTGCACGCTGAAGATTTCCTGTTGGAGATCAATGAATGCTCCTCGTTAAAAAACAGGCCAGCGCTCCGAAATGAATGCTAATCTTGAGGTAAGGCAGCGCACCTTCTGACCGAAGAAGCGGACCACACCGTCCTCCTTGGGGAATGTTTGATTGTAGAAGCGGCAGAATGCATCTGTGGGCAAGCGAGATTAAATTTCCAAGCATCATCGCAAGCTGTGAAACAAGGTGTGCACCTTCTGCCTTCGATTTGGCAGAGCCCCCGCCCTGTCCTTCCTTGCCCTTCTTGCCTTTCATCTCTCGAGATGTGTTTGTTGTTTCTGCCTTTCGCGCCAAAACCTTGATTTTTTCCTGTTATTTATTAATTCTTTTCAATTTCATTCTTTTATTTTGAAGAGCGAAGTGATGTCTCACACTATTTGTACACTCTTCATTTCTGTAGGACCATTGCAAACAAGACACCCACCACCATCACCAACAACATCATCACCACCGTCGTCCAGTGAGGCATGTTCGGCAACTGTTGCGCCAGCTTCCTGCGAGCCTTCTTCACCACCTCGACCCACTCGGCCCACCGCAGCCCGGCGCGTCCACGGGGCAGGTCCGAGTCGACCCCGGGTGTGGCGCAGGATGGCCGAGTAGAGCCGCAGGATCTGGAGGGTGGTCTGGGGAGGCAGTTTCTGCCGGTCCTTGATCGTGTTGGCAATAGAGAAGATGAAGGCGCGATTCGTGCCCGTTGCCTCCTCCACCTTCTGGATGGCAGCCTCGACGGTGGTCTCCTCGGGGAGCAGGTCCACCTTGGTCAGGGCGATGAAGTAGGGCAGGTGCTTCCTGGCCAAGTTCTTGGCGATGGTGGCGAGGCAGTGGAGCGCGTTCTTCTCATTGAGGAGATTGGCCCCGAACACGAGCAGCAGGGTGTCCTGCGGCTCCTGCTCGATCTCGCCCTGGCGCCTGCTCGCTTCGTGGGGCACTTGTAGGAGCTCGCTGGGGAAGACCCCGACGTAGATGTTGCCCACCTCCTCGGCGATCTCCTCCATCGTCCGGGACTCGGCGGCGTCGTAGGTGATGCCCTTGAGGTCCTGGCTCACCACCCGGAGCTCCTGGCCCAGGAGGGTCGTCGTGTACGAGTCCTGGCACACCCAGTGCGTGCCGTGGTGGTTGCCCGCGCCTAGATGAGGCGGTACCGTGACCTCCTCGTCTTGCAGCGCAGCCTGTGAGCTGGCCTGCAGAAGCACAATACTGTCAGCCACTCCATCGAGAGTATATGAGCTGTTCTTATGTGGGTGGAGGAGTACGCACAACAAAGGTCGTCTTGCCCGCTTTGCTGGGGCCAACGTTGGTGATGCGGACTTCATTTCGGCCGTACTTCTCTCTTTGCCTCCTGAGGTAGGTCAGCTCTGCCGCGATTTCTGAGGCGATTAGTTCGCCTCCTTGCGCTTGGTCGCCGGCTGGGGCACTGGCCGACGGTCTGGAGGCGGGGTCCTGCTCCTCTTGTGCAAGTACTTGCTGCTGCATCTGTTGGGCTGGGGTAGGGGTCGGGCTGAGTTGGGGGTATAAGTTGAATGAAGGTTGGCTCCGTTTTATGGCCAATTCGACCGAATGGACGTCTGCGGTTGCCTCGGACTGCGGACTGCGTGTTGGCGAGCGATTGGTCCATTTCGACCAAAATCGTTGCCCCGGACTCAGAAATTAACTCCGCCGAACCGAATGTATGGTGCCTACATAGCGCACTGAGTCACTTCAACCCGCAAGCCGTCACCCTACCGCACCTCTCTCTCCTACAGACATGCGCACTGGCATCCTTGGCGACAGCACATCCCTCGAACGGCTAGTCGGCGTGCCCAAGCAGCTGCAGGTCTTGCGACACGACGGGCACATCAACTGGGTCGAGACCGCTGCCATGGCGGCAGCCGAGGGGGGACACCACCGCCACGGCGCCGTATTCACGTCCACCCTGCTTGACAACAACAGAGAGCTTCTCCGCGTGGCTTCGGGGGCGGCTTCGACCGAAGAAGGAGACCACCTGGACTTGGACCTCATCGTTTTCAGCTTCGCCGCCGCCGACCGGTGCTCTCTGGAGGACCGCAACTTCAAGGCCGCCTTCCAGTGGGCCGACGCTTACTTCCGAGCCCGCAACAAACCCGCGCAGGTGGGCGTGCTGCTGGTCGACTACGCAGTCAACAAGCCCGCCGGACCCGCACGGGTGGACGACGACAGGATCATCGGCCTCGTTGCCGGCGATCCCTACCTCGAGGCACTCATGCGCGCCCGTCGCATTGTTCGGTGGAACGCCACCACCCCGGCCCTGGACGATCACGATCATCACGACGGGCTACCCGACCTGTCCGACGACCTGGCGCGAGTGTTGGCCGACTTCTGCCGAAGGCCGGTCGTGTCACTTCAGGCGGCGTCGGGGTCATCGCTCCGCGGCGGCAGCGGAGGCGCCAGGGCGGGCGGCGATCGGTTCGTCAACGGCCTCCTAGTGTGCTCGCTTGCGGTGCTGGTGGCCCTGCTTGTGCTCCACCTGTCGCCCTCGCTTCAGGCCCTGGCCGCAGGCGCGTTGCTGCCCGAGAGCGCGGCCGAGCTGACCCGGCTCAGGCTCGAGAACGGTGCGCAGGAGGCGATGACGGTCGGGTTGCAGAAGGACAACGAGCTCTTGAAAGAGATCAACGCCCGGCAGAAGAAGCATAACGACGAACTGACGAAGGACGTGACGGACCTGAAGCACCGCAACACACGCCTGCAGGCGCAAGTCGACCAGTTGACCGCAGCCCAGCTGGCCGCCACCCAGACGCTGACTGACCGGACCCTGGTCATCAGCTCCCTGTGCCAGGGGTGCTGCCAGGGCGAAACCGCCGTCGGCGGGTCCATGTGCCGGCTCTGCTCGTCCGCGCCAGCAGCATAAAGTGGCGAAGTTAAAACGCGAGTGGACGCCTTGAGCAAGGATAATTAAAAACTAATCGCCCATAAATAAGAAAAATGAACTCATTGCACGGAGAAGGAACGCAGACTTGGCGAGGCGTGCCACCGGCGCGCGGCCATCGTCCAGAGCGGCGCGACGAAAGGCCACAGGGCAAAGGCCACGAGTAGCGCCAACACCGTCACGTTGAGCCCCACCAGCAGCGCCATCAGCGATGATGCATACCTGCCCACGCCCAAAGACCAGCGTTATCACCAACGCACACGACTCCCACGCAACACGCAACACGACACGCGACACACGACACGGGCGCACGTACGAGTCAACTGTCACGAGGATGTCGCCGTAGTCATTGCCCGCCACCGACACTTGCTCGATCGTGGCCGACTCGAGCTGGTTCATCCCGTGCCACACGCCCTGCACGGCGAACGTGAACGCCGCCGTGCCCAGCGCCAGCTCCTCTAGCCGGTTGTCGCGCGCCCGCTTGAACGGCGCCAGCCAGTGCTGCACGGCGAGCGAGCCCACCAGCACCAGCTCGAGGAAGCCCGAACGCGCCAGGTTGAAATCCGGCACGAACCCTACCATCAGGCCCACAAGCATCCGGCGCAGGGTCACACCGAGCTCGAACCAGTGCATGGAGGGCCGGTAGCACGCCACCAGCGGTCCGGCCACCGTCATCGCGCGCTGCTCGTCGTGGCCGTGGCCGTCGTCGAGGCTGTCACCGGTGGCGGCTCGGCGCCGAAAGGCGAAGAGAACTGCCGCAAAGGCGACGGGAATGCCGCACACGAGGACGCCGAGCGAGACAAACCCCATGATCTGCATGGTGCCCCACTCAGCTTCCCTGCAATGTCAGGAATGTGACACGTAAGCCATCATTGTAGGATTCACCGGCCCAGCAGATGCGAGGGAGTACCGATTGCAGCGCAGCCAGGGCACGGTATTCATCCATCGGCTGGAGGTGCGCAGCTCCTGGGTGCAGTTGAAGACGTCGGTGGTCCGCACGCTGAGCTCGAGCACCAGCCAGTACGCCACCCACAGCCATGCGCGCACTCCGCTCTCCCACGGCCGCGCTCGATACACGGTTGCGCCTCGATCGCCATCTGATGGTATCGGCAGCAGGTTGACAGCGCCCTCTGGTGGTACGATGAGCGCCAGCGACTGCTGCTCGGTCCCGCTCCTCGTCACCGCCACTGACGCCCGTGGGCCGCTGAGGCCGTGGCCGTCGTCTGGTCGCCGCGCGGCCCACCGCCACCAGGCCGCGCGCACGGCCACCACGGCCCCGATAACCACCGTCGCGGCCGGCACGAGGGCCAGCACGGCGCCCAGGTTCGCGACGGGATCGCTCATCCAGTTCAGCAGGCACTCGATGCCCGTGCCGGCCACGCTCGCGTTAGCCACGCCCAGCAGGCGCATGCCGCCGGTCTGCGCCCACTCCGGCCAGCCGGAGTTGACCGTCGCGGTGGTCTGGGCGAACATGAGGGCCACCTTGGTCGCGCCGCTCTCGCCTACCTCGCCTGCGGCGCGCCGCAGGGCCGCGAAGAAGGGTCGCCGGGGCCACACGCACGATGCCACGGCCAGCCCGACCACCGCTGCGATCACCGCCGCCAGCAGGCTCGTGACCGCGACTGTGACGTCATCGCGGCACGCAATGCACCGGCGCTGCGATGCAAAGTAGCATGAATGCGCGGCTCCCTCGGGCGCCGGGCACTGACAGCGCGAGCAGAGCCTCCCTGTGCCCAGCCCAGCAGGTGAACGGGTGTGATGGGGCGAAAAATATGAGGAGTTCGTGCATACCCGTGGTGCCGGGAGCGCAGAGCTGGCAACCGAACGATAACTGCTTGGAGTTCCAGCGAGCGGAGCAGCTGTTCTCGGGGTTGCACACGCTGTCGCTCCCACGGCCGTAGTCAGGACACGGCAGCGCTGCAACCCACTCACCTGCCCAANCCACACGACGCATACGACGCACACGGTTAGCCTCGGGAGGGTTGTCTGGCGTCACCACGGCGCGAGCATCAGCGTTCAAAGCTACAGTACCTGCGCTGAACACGGGATAGAAGCCCCGGGGCCACGCCACGTTGCGGCCCTTGGTAGAGTTGCAGACCATGTGCGGCGGACACGGTTTGCAGCCATGCGGGGGCATGCCCACGAAGCCCGCAGAGCAGCGGCACTGGTCGTAGCCGAAGAACTCGATCGGCGTGATCACCTACGGTACAGACGTTAACTGAGCACAAGCCTACAGCTTGCGGTGCGGTGCATGTGCGTGCGCGTGCTCAAGGCGTGTGCGGTGGTGCGGGCGCGACAGGGGGGGAGTCGCTGGAGGTGGCACTTGCGTAGGTACCTTGAAGGAGAAGGGAGCGACCGTTACGGGGTCGGGACAGGCGAACATGCGCCCGTCCCTCGCGCCCAACTCGCCGAAGTTGAGACCGAGCCACGTCACCGGTTTGCCCTCCGTCGACACGGCCGACATACGCGTGTTCCCTGGGATAATTGGACATTGAGCTCACTCCAATAGCAGCGCTGTGCCGTAGTACACGCGCGGACGGACCTGCCAAAGAGAGGTAGGCCAGGTTGGGCATGGCCTGGACCGTGGCATCAGGGATGCTCCCATTCATCATCACGTTGTTGCTGATGTCCACGATCGATAGGAGCGATCTGGTCCCTCGCTGGCCGTGACCCACGACAGCCACACCAAATAGTTCAGCCTACATTGTATTGGGGCCGACGCCAACGTTGAGAAATAATCGCAAACGTACGAACGTACCACGAACTCGGGAAACGGGCCTTCGAGGTGGTTGTTGCCGAGGAGCAGGATCTGCAGCGAGGAGCTGTTGGTGATCGCCTGGGGCAGAGGGCCGCTCAGGTTGTTGTGCGACAGCACCAGCTTGCTGAGAACGCTGCTGCCGACGAGCTTCTCCGGTATCGGACCTGCGGCGGCGGCGAGCGAGTGTCTCTTAGACCGATTCGATTCTGAATGTGCGGCGCCCCACGTACCGGTGAATTGGTTGTGCCCCAGGTCGATGGTCAGCATCGAACTGCCCCAGAAAGAGGTGATGTCCCACTCCGACGGCAAGGCGCCCGAGAGCTGATTGTTCGACAAGTCCTACAATCCACTCCGCTGAGTCAGTTCTGAGTACGTCTGTGTGTCGTGCGTGCGCGTGCGGTTCGTAGGCGCACCAGGTTCCAAAGTGTATCGGATGAAACGCTGGGCATGGTCCCATGGAACCGGTTGCTAGAGAGGTCGATCGTGCTGGCCCGGCTCAGGCGCAGGAGACACGGAGGAATCGCGCCGGTCAAGTTATTGCGCGCCAGCTCTAGTATGCCGATGGGGATCTCACCTGCAGCACCCGCCCGCCCAGCCAGTCGTTGGTCGACTCGAACTGATCACGGTGTGGTGTGCGAGTGCTCTACTCGGGACGTACACCACTCCTCGGGCAATGGCCCGGTGAAGTTGTTGCCGCTGAGGGTGATCTCGTTCAAGCCGCCGAAATCGGCGCCAAAGGCCGGCAGCGGGCCGCTGAGGTGGTTGTTAGAGAGGATGAGCGTGGAGAGGCTGCAGAAGCGCGACCACGAGGCCGGCAAGCTGCCCGTGAGATTGTTGTTGTCGAGGTCGATGTTGTAGGACGTCGGCGTGAAAGGCGCGCACTGGACGCCGAGCCAATAACACGCGTCACCTGCGCCAAGTCGATTTATTTTATTTTAATGTTCCGAATAAAAATAAAAATATTGTGCGCTGCAAAATGAAGATGATAAAGGGGGCGAGGTACCGCCAGAGAGCCACTCACTGTAGCCGGTGCCCCTGCTGGACCACCAGGGTCCGCCAGTTGCGTGGTAGAACTCCTCGAGCAGGCCCCTCACATCGCCTTGCGTCGAGCAGTCGCGTTAACTTAAGTTCGGAGTTAAAGAGAAAAGGAGGGGAGGGTACTGGAGTTGAGGGTGCAGGTGGCAGCTTGGCGCAGCGTTGGCGTGAAGAGGGGGTCGGCTGGCAAGAGGTGCAAGTGTGACGAAGACGTAGATGAAGATGCGAAAGATGGAGTTAAGATTAAAAAGAGACTCATCACCGAGGCACATGAGAAGCGAGCCCATGCCATGGTGTCTCTGACATTCACTGTGAGCTTCACTTGCTGCTGCACCGGTCGCAAACAACAATAACAATAAGGACCAGCTAACCTCGAGGAGAAGGAAGGAAAATGACAAAAAGCCAAAAAGCTGCCGCTTGGGGGCTCCTCCGCCCGCCATGATCGCGTGAGTGCATCAAGATGTCTCCTGTTTGTGGTCGTTATGACTATGAGGAGCATGAAGCATAGGAGATGGAGGTGGAGGATTCTAGGAGGTGATGATGTCGGCGTCGATGTAGGGGTTGTCCTTGAGCGAGAGAGCGTAGTAGTACTCCCGACAGTAGACCGTCGCCAGCAGCGGCACGCCCAGTATGAGGCCAAACCAGAAGAAGAAGTTGCCCGCCCGCCTGCATGCATATGCAGAGAGTAAGCAATGTTGATGGCCTCTGCTGAAGCGCTGGTTGAGCGCCGTAAGTGAAGAGTGCTGACGTCACGTACGTGTTTTTGAGCTTGCGCCCGAGGTAGATGAGCGGCAGCTGGCCCATCTGCAGGAGGAAGAGGTAGGGCCGCACCATCCGGAATATGACGGCAAAGACCGTTTCGTGCAACTGCACAACAGAGAAGGAGAGAGTAAGATTGAACGGACTTCAATGAACGACAATGACGACGATACGTACGACGGCGGATAAGAGGAAGGTGATGAAGGTGGCACGCAAGCGCGACGTCTTGTAGGTGTTGATCGACTCCAGGTAGACGTGGCGCAGCAACCACTCATGCACGGGCTTGTTCCATTTGCGGGCGTACTAGTAGCATTAACACACACACACACCACAGAGAGAGAGAGAGGAAGTAAGCAAGGCGCTGTATGGCGGTGCGCGGAGGGGAAGCATTACCTCGTCCCACGTGGTGCTGTTCCACCAGTCGTCGTAGAAGCGACGATCGGCAAAGCAGAGGACCTCGGCGATGCCGTTGAGGATCAGCTCGAACATAATGTAGAATATCATGATGTGGCAAAACAGCAACGGAGTGATCAACGCCGCGATTGTCTCTACGACCGACATCACCGGGGCTCTATTATAATGTGAAGTGAGTGTGAGGACACAGCAAGGCTAGGCGTACAAGAAACGAAGCAACGCATACCGCAGCAGGACGGCGGTGATGTGCTGGTCGATGACGATATGCAGAACGGAAAAGACACCCACCGCGGCGAGGCACTTCTCCGTCACATATCCCCATCTGCAAACGATGTTGTCAGCTTACGTGTCTCCATTTGCTGAAGCCAAGAAAACGGTTTGGTGAACTCGAACGAACCTGACGCGCTCGGTGCGCGGGTAGTTAAGCTCGTAGACGAGGGTGGGCGCGCAGAGGAAGTAGAAGAAGTTCCAGAACGTGACGTTGTGGGGGTATGCCACCAGCCCCTCCTTCGTGGTCGCAGCATCAGTCTCGCCCTTCTCCTTCTACAACCGTCATTAGCACAAGTGGTTAGTCCCTGACACACACACACGACGCACACGCACACGCGCGCGACTGTGGTCGTTGGGTGTAGCGAACCTGTACACTGGTGCCGGTGGTCTTGGCCGTCTTCCGGCCCTTTACGTCGGCGGCCGCGGCCAGTGCGAATTCGGCGTTGGTGACGAGGTACGAGTGCATCTTCATGACGAGCACGATCATGTGGAGGAGGAAGGTGCCCATCGGCACCACCGGCCACTCCGAGGCGACCACGAGCAGGTAGAGCGTAGTGAGGAAGATCGTGGTCTGCAGCGTATGCTGCACCACGAAGCGCACCCACAGCGGCGGCGGCGGCCCTGCCGGTCGCTGTCGTCGTCGGGCGGCCGTCCACCTGACCCAGGCCCACTCGAGGGCGTAGGCAGAGAAGGGCGCGGCGCCCAGGGCGCACCAGGCGGGCAGCATGTCGAGCGGGATGAGGCGTACAAGAGACCGGAGCCCGACCAGGGTGCCGTGGCGTAGGAAGAAGCTCACGTTGGTGCTGATGATGTAGAAGGCGGCCATCATGGCCACCAGGTTGAAGAAGCCTCGAAACTCGGACCGCTGCAGGGGCGACGCCACGGCCGGGTCGAGGTAGGAGGGTCGCGGCTCGAACCTGCTCTTGCTCGGCCCAGAAGGTCGCGAAGATGGATGGGAAGAATCTTCAGATGAAGATGATGAAGATGCATCTCGGTATGATCGTGGCGCTGTCTCTTTGCCCTTCATCGCAAAAAATCGAGTAGGCCTTGCGTGGACGCGTTGGACGTAGAATGAAGCAAAAAGATGCCAGTCAAGCTGCGTCGTAGTTATGTAGCAGTGTTGTCAAACCAGTGACCGGTGGCGTCTGTCTGGCCGTGCACGCAAGCACCTGGCCAGCACAAGCCACCGCCACGGGCTTTTTCCTCTTTCCCTTTTCTTGGTGTCGACATTTTCTTCGGCGCGTTTGGCGGTTGTGCCCGCACGCCAACCACACAACACGCCGAGAGCAAGGTGACGGTGTGCCTCGCGGGTTTTAGTACAGCTTCGATTGACTCTATACGGGCACAGATAGACATGTCGCCTCAGCTGTCCCGCACACGTTTGATCTTTCGCGTTCTTCACGCGCGGCGAGCAACGTGTTTGTTCCCAGGGCTTCAAGCCGAGCGCAGGTCTCGCAGAACGAGATTGGCGACGTTGCGCGCGGAGGCGATCTGCGTTTCCATGCACGACACGGCACTCTCGAACGCATTGGCGTAGTACAACTTGTCTGGTGTATTCCAGAGAGGAGATTGGGGGATTAATCAGCACACGGGTACGAGTATCGGTCCAGGCAGTGGGGGCGAGGGAATGTAGGCTACCGTGAAGCTTGATGCGCGACCACTCGCTGAATGGGTAGGGCGTGAGCACGGGGTAGGCAGCCCACTCCTGTCGGAAGGTCCGTAGGCGTCCGCCAAAGAGACGGTCCTGCACACACACCCCAGCGGTGAGGGTAACACACACGCGCGACCGGTCTCACGAAAGGGAGGTTAGTGGTACGAGGGTGTCCTCAGACATGGCCTGGCGCGAGAAGACCTTGTAGATGTTGTGCGTCTCGTTGAGTTTCCTGTTGGGTCCGACCACAGAAGAGTAAAGTGTGGTCGAAGAGTTCATTCATGACGCTGTTGGCAGTAAAAAGAGAAGGCAAGGCTACCTGATGGCCGAGGCCGAGTTGAAGGGAATGTTGGGATTTTCGGTCGTCAGCACGAACGACGGAATCCAGGTGTCATCTGCGGCAAGCAATGAAGCTCTGTTAAGACATGGCTTGATATGAATACATAGAGAGCGGGGAGTGCGTACTGTCAAGACCGAAGAAGGCGCGCTTCAGCTCAGAAGCCACAACCTTTAGTTTGTTAAAAACAGTCAGCTGGGCATGCTTGCTTCACGTGACAAGCGAGGGAGGCCGCGTACCAGCGTAGCATGTGTGGTTTGGTAGGGGCGCCTCTTTCCCGCAGCCACAGGCAAATCTACAACCAGATGTCACATGTCGTAAGCAACTTCGATGACCACATAACGAATTGGCGTTGCGTGGTGCATCGTGTGATCACAGATTACCTCCACTCTTCACCTCTTCCTCGCCAAGCTTGAACGAGAGGTCTGTGAACTCGAGTGGCGTTGCGATCACCACCTGACACGGCGAAGAATGTTAGTGATTTCGAACCACAAGTCGAATGAATGGAGTGAGGTTGTACGGCATCAAAGATCTCCTCCAGCTCTTGCCCGGCGCAGCTGTACTTGATCGTGTACTTGGTCTTACCACCTTGGGTCAAGTAGAACTACTCAGTCATGGGTACTCGGTGTGGCCAATCCTTGTGGGTGCGTACCTTGGTCCATCGCAGTAACTCCAGCTACCTGACTGCTAAGGTGCATCTTGGCTTTCGCGGCCTTGAGCAATTCTTCAACCACCTTGCGTAGGCACCACATTATAATGACACTGTGGTGAGGCCTCGCTCAGGCGAAAGAAATGCCTGAAGAAAAGGGGGGAAAAGGAGTTACCCGATGGTTGCCGCCCTCGACCGAGAACAGAGTCTCCTTTCCGCTACCCACAAGCCCGACGAAGCCCGCAAATGCGTTCATCGCTGTCGCAAGCGAGCGAGGAAGTGAGTACGACATTTGTCTTAGCGAATACAGTAGTAACTATGCACCTGGGCTCTGGCCGTAGTTGACCCTCTCGATGGCGGTGACGAGCTCGTGGATGTACTCCTCGCTCACTCCTCCGTCTGGTATGGGCAGAGAGACAGCGATGAACTCTAGAGAATCGAGAAGGAGGAGCCAGATAGACTTCTTACCTTGGAGGGCCTTGAGAAGGCTCTGCTGGGCATAATGCGATACGTTCAACGACTCCAACAGCGCTTCAGACGTATCGAATGAACCTGAGACAACCCCGCACAAGCGTGAGTAACTGGCCGTTGCCCGGCTTTGGAGCTACAACAGTACAGTTCTCCAGCTTTGCGTAGACTTCGACCCAGCGCTCCTTGACTGAAGTAGCCTGGTTCTCCACCTGCCAAAGTTGATCAGCTCACGCCTCGCTGGAGGAAGGAAGATGCGCTAGTTGGTACCTTGAATGGCGACAGGCCATAACGGTAGAGCATCTTGGCGAGGGTGAGAAGCAACCACTCGCTCTCCTGCATAACGAACTCGTTGCCGTTCCAGAGGCCCCACAGGCCTTTAGCAGCAGCGCACACGTCAGACCAAGCGACGTATACCGGTGTGTGTGGTGGTGGTACCCAGATTGGGCGGCTCCTTTCGCTTGAGGCCGAACTCGCTCACAAAGCTGTCGAAGTAGCGATTGGAAACGTGGTAGACCGATGCGCCCACCTCCACGCGCACTCCCTCAATCTCCATGGATCGTACTCGGCCTGCCACTCGGCGTGCATCCCATCCACGGTGAGGCCCCTACCAGCAACAACACAGCTCGAGCGTCCGCGGTGCGTACCTCCAACGAAGCCGTCCCTCTCGAAGACGTGGATGTCCGCAAGCGGCAGAGCCCGCCTCATGAAGTGGACGGCTGACGCACCACCAATGCCTGCAGTACATTTATTGGACAATAAATCATAAATACCTATTATATCATCACTTGAATCTGTCGTTTAAATATGTTCACAGTTCTGTCTATGACTTTAAATGATTATTCAAATAAATGGCCTTGCGTACCAGCACCCACAACGCCGATCTTCAGGACGGGGGCGCTACAGGTGTCGCCATCGCAGACGAGAGATGCTGCAATAAATTGGGGCAGCGCGAACGCTGAGATGAGCGCCAACAACACGAAGAACGTCCTGGACTCTGCCATAAGCGCCCTTGTGTATTGCGAGGGCAGTTAAGTACAAGATTAAAATTTTCATTTTCATTTTTTTTTCAATTTTCCTATCAGACAGGGGGTTCAACACGGCCCTTGTAGACGTGAATGAACGTCTTTGGTCGGTCGACGAGCTCTCTGCAGTGTGAACAGTCAGGCAGATGCTGCGTCTTGAAACCAGGAAAGTGAGGACGCACCGAAGGTCAAACAGCAAACCACGGCACTGATATCTTACGTTCACCTGGTGCAGATACTCCACCAGCTCTCTCCTCTTCTCGATCATGGTCTGCACTCGCATTCCACACGATGAAACACATGACCTCATACGTAAGCAGCTGTGTGAAAGCAGTGTACCGCTTCAACCTCTTGCTCCTGCTGGATAAGACACGGAAGGTAGCAAATCAACGAATTCTGCCACCCTTGCTTCATCCACAGGTCGAGCCTTCGCACGCTGTACGCTGCAGCACATTGAGCAGTGGCTTATCAGTTCTTGTCGCCACCGCAGTTACGTTTATGTGACGCTGAGCTGTACCTGCTGGTCGCCAGATCTCGTTCACGGAATCCATCACCTCACCCCACTCTTCTTGCGACAGCGCGTCGTCTAAGAAATCGGATGGGTAGGTGTCGTCGTAGAGCTGATGCTCCCCCACTTCGTCGTCCTCAACTATCACCTCGTTCACTCTGTACACCCAGTCCTCTACTTGGTCGCCTTTTTCTCCTTCCTTCGATTTCTTCATCGTCTTCATCTCTGTGCCGTCTTCCATCTCAGTTGAACCTGCAACGATGCTCCTCTCTGTCTATACTATGTGCCAAGCGCTTCGTCACCTCTCGAAGCTATGAAGTCTTGGCCTTCCACCGGGTAAGTTACTCTCCACGCAAAAGAAAGGAAGGCGCTACCGTGTAATCATCAGTCGACAAGAAACATTGCCCTAATCCCGTAGGCGGACCCAGAAGATAGTTGAAGGTATCGAACGCAAAGATGATGATGGATCAACGAAGTTCGGCTCTTCCTCTCGGCCTCTTCTTGGTCTTGTTGCTGGCCTCCCAGGGGCAATGGGCTTCTACCTTCCCGGAATCGCCCCTACCGAGTACTCCGAGGGTAAGTCTTCCCCTGGCTCGATATCATGAGTCAACACCATCTTCTCTTTCATCTGCCCTACGGCTATAGTTGCGTCTGCTTAACAGCATCACGTTGGGCCGCCAGGTGACCAGATCGCGGTGGATGTGAACAAGATCACATCGATCCATACGCAGCTGCCCTTCAAGTACTACTCTCTGCCCTTCTGCCAACCAGCCCACGTCGAAGACTCGCGCGAATCGTTGGGCGAGATCCTCTTGGGCGACATCATCGAGAATTCGCTCTACAAGGTCTCTTTGCCGCAGCTCTGAGAGGCACACCGCGAATCAGCATTCATTGCTTTCTGTGCAGATTTCGGCCAAGATCAATCAGACGTGCCAGGTGGTCTGCAAGCGCCAGTACAAGGCGGACGAGGTTGCCCAGTTCGCGGAGAAGATTCGTCAGGAGTACCGAGTGCACTGGTACCCCCCAAACGTCATCTTCATCATTTGCCCTCCCTTTGGAGCTGAACTCAGTTGCTTCTCCAAAGGCTCTTAGATGCTCTTCCATCTGCTGAGAGGCACCTCATGCTGGATGGCTCCCACGTACGTCGCCTTCGTCAAGTCGCTAATTGATTAATTCAGCAATTAATCAAATTCCTCTTGCAGATTTATGAGGATGGTTTCCCTCTCGGGCGCATGGTCCGCTCGGAGGCTGGAAACAAGGCGGTACGTCCCAGATAACTGGAGGGGCAAGCGCTTGGCCACACCCACTGACGTGGGCAGTCCATCACACGACAGTCGCCCATCAAGCCAGCCCTGAACAATCACATCGCTATTACCATTCTCTACCACGAGGAGCCCACCACCGCCGAACCTGCCACCAAGGACGGCACCACCCGGCCTGCGCTTGGTATCCGCGTCGTGGGCTTCGAGGTCAAGGCTTACAGGTTTCCGCCTCTCCTTTTCATTATTGAGCTCGGATGAGTGCTGTGCGTTAGCATTGAACCATTCTCCACCACTGCTTCGTTCCATTGTAGCGTGAACCACGCCACCGACTACCCCGAGGGGGGCCACCCCAACACATGCGAGCATTTTTGTACGTATCTCGGCCCGCTCTCGTAAGCAAGCCTCGCTGTCAAACGCAACCCTAACTGCCATACCTCAAGCGTCCACGCCTATCCAGGTGCTTGAGGAAGGCAAGGAGGTCACCATCGTTTTCACCTACTCGGCCACCTGGGTGGTACTTGCTCCCCATGTTCGAGCCTCTGATGTGTTGGCCTCTTCCGAACCGAACATCTTACGCAGTGATGCCTTCGTCACACCAGAGGAGCGACATCAAGTGGGCTTCGCGTTGGGATTCCTACTTCATGATGACCGATGATCAAGTGCACTGGTTCTCCATTCTCAACTCTTCTCTGGTCGTCCTCTTCCTCACGTACGCCGCGACTCTACTTGGGTGTTCCGCCTCTTTTCACTTGGCTCCGCTCTAACGTGGCTGTCGATTATGCTGTAGCGGTATTGTGGCGATGATTCTGCTGCGCGTGCTGAGGGCTGATCTGCGCCGCTACAATGCCCAACGCGATGACGAGAACAACGACGTGCTCGAGGTACTTTGTTGCAATCAAGTGTACCACTTCCAGCTTCACATGATCGCTCATGCCCTCGTAGGAGACTGGCTGGAAGCTGGTTCACGCCGACGTCTTCCGCGCTCCCGCTTGGCCTATGCTCCTGGCTGCTTCCGTGGGCTCTGGCGTGCAGACGCTGGCCATGACCGTCATCACCATGGGTACGTACTGCGCGCTCCAAATCACTCCTACACGGCTAGGACCTCGACCTGATCGTTTTGTCCACATTGCCCTGTGACCTCTCTACCAGGCTTTGCTATGTTGGGGTTCCTCTCTCCGGCCAACCGCGGCAGTTTGATGACCGCCATGGTGGTGCTGCTTGTCGTCATGGGGTACGCCACCACCCGATCCCTCCCTTCGGCTTTGAACATGCTATGCTTTGTGAACTCGTGAGAGTTGGGGTGTGGCACTCATCGTTTGTTCGTTCCTTTGTGGCGCAGAGTGCTCAACGGCTACTTCTCGTCCCGCACCTACAAGATGTTCAAGGGCGTGCACTGGAAGCGCTGCACGCTGCTGGTGCGACTCCCGTTCATTGGCCCGCTTGCTTCTACTCGAATCTCGCCACCTGACCATCATGGCTCTTATTGCCTCTTGCGTTGCGCGAAAACTCGCAGTCGATGTTCCTGTATCCCGGTATGGCGTTTGGCATCTTCTTGGTCATCAACTTCCTCATTTCGGGCCAGCACTCTTCTGGTACCACCACCACCACCTCCACCGCCCGCGTGTGCCTCACGCCCCCGATCGTGTTCGCTAACGAACGGGCTCACGAATTACAGGTGCCATGCCGTTCCTGACCCTGCTGGAGCTGATCACGTTGTGGTTCGGCGTTTCGCTGCCCCTCACCTTCGCCGGCGCATACTTTGGCAACAAGGGAGAGGTAACACATGACCACCTCTTTCACCATACGCCATACAATGGCTAATCCCCGGCGTTTGGATTGTTAGGTCGTGCCCGAGCCGTCCAACATCCGCATCAACCTCATTCCCCGTCAGATCCCTGACCAGCTCTGGTGCGTGACCACGCCCTTTCGCTGATCTGGCACTTCTCCTCCACTGCATTACAGGACCACACACCACACACCACACACCACACACCACACACACACCACACACCACACACCACACACCACACACCACACACCACACACACACCACACACACCACACACACCACACACACCACACACACACACACACCACACACACCACACACACCACACACACCACACACACCACACACACACACACACCACACACACACACACACACCACACACACACACACACACCACACACACCACACACACACACACACACCACACACACCACACACACACACACACACACACACACACACACCAAGCTAACAAGTCCAACCACACGCCAGGTACACCCGCCCGATCGTGTCTATCCTGCTCGGCGGCGTCCTTCCCTTCGGCGCAATCCTCATCGAGCTCTTCTTCATCTGGTGCCGCTTTCCTACAAATGTGTTTATCGCCAGCGCTGGCCCTTCTTCTCACCCCCCCCCCCGTTTGTTGGCATTGGCCACCACCAGGTCGTCCATCTGGTTGCACCAGTTCTACTACCTGTTCGGGTTCCTCTTCCTGGTGTTCGTCATCTTGGCCATCACCTGCGCAGAGATCACCATTGTGATGTGTTACTTCCAGCTGTGCAGCGAGGTGAGCCATCCCCCCCCCACACTATCACCATCATGGTGTACTTCTTCTGACCGCCCGCCCACCTTGCCCACCGCGCACGCACAGGACTACCACTGGTGGTGGCGAGCGTTCCTCACGCCGGCGACATCGGCCCTCTACCTGTTCTTCTTCTCGGTGTTCTACTTCATGCCCAAGCTCCAGATCACCAAGTTCGTCTCCATCTGCCTTTACACCGGTATGACCGCACCTCCCGTAGCGCGCCACTTTGTTTCGAAGCCTAACGGAGTCGGGGCTGTGGGCTTCAAGGCTACACGCTGATCATCACGCTCGAGTTCTTCACGCTCACTGGAGTGGTGGGCTTCTTCTCGTGCTACTGGTTCGTCTACACCATCTACGGCTCCATCAAGGTCGAGTAGAGAGTATCAACAACCATCACCACCCCATCATCATCACCATCATAAAATGTATGGCCATCACATCATACCCACCTTCATCATCACCACTTCATTGGGGCGATACTGCGAGAGAAGGGCTGTGGGAGGTCAGGCATCGGCCAGGGCCTCCACAGCGGGCTTGGGTGGGCTGCTGCTGAGGGCAGCGTCCGGCACGGCTTCCGATGTTACATCGCAGAGGTCGGCGTTGGACTCCAGGCGGACCAGCTCGTGGTCGACTTTGCTCTTGGCCTTCTTGGTCTTCTTCTTGCCGCTCGACTTCTTCTTCCCCTCCTTCTTGTCCTTCTTTCCGGCCTTGTCTTCATCTTCTTGCTGAGGCTGCTGCTGACTGCGGTTGCCGTCGCCGTTGGTGGTGGACCCGGAATGAGAAGAAGGTGATGGGGAGGAGGAGGAAGAGGCGCCCGGCGAGTCGTCCTTGTCTTCCTCGCCCTCGCCCCTGGCCTGGTGCAGTTTGTCGTGCTCCTGCTCCTCCTGCTCCTGCCGCCGCCGCCTCTTCTCCGCGAGCTTGTAGTGCTTCTTCGCCAGCTCCACCAACTTAAGGTAGATCCTGTTATTGGGCGCACACGAAAAGTTGGTTTAAAAAAAGGTGTCGCACACACCACCGCACCACCGCACACGCACACGTACACGCGCAAGGAGAGGAGCGAACCGAATGTGGGCGTCGTCGCCCCAGACGAAGTCGAGGTGGCCATACTCCTCCTCGAACTGCGCGTAGACCACGGTTTCCTCGGGCAGCTCCGAGAGGAGCCGCTCCACGTCTTCCTTGCACGTCAGCTTGTCCTCCCCGCCGTAGAACACACCCAACTGTGGATGTCCCCCATTGTCGTCAGCCTACGAGCCCCGCACGCACACGACGCACACGACACGCGCACATAAGCACGGGAGAGCGAGCAGTACCCGAGCAGGATGGATGCTGCCCAGGTCATAGGGTGGTGGCTGTTCCTGTCCGTAGACCTCCAGGTTCTTCTTCGCCCCGTAGTCAAAATGGCTGAATGTGCCGTTGCGGATCGATTGCGCCCTTGTGTGGCACCACACACACACACACACGCACACGAGCGCACACGCACGACACACATACAAACGCACACGTCAGAACTACACGCAAAGACGCAGCAGTAGTGTGTCGCACCAGTGGGCCATGACCATGACCGACGTGCCGCCGGGCTGGTGCGCGGCGATGACCGGCATGCGATCGAGCGAGAAGTTGTTGTCCGGGTTCCACCCGCACATGTTGTCGAATATGAGCCGCGTCACGAGCCTGGTGCCCTGCGCCGAGTAGAGGAGCAGGCCGGGCGTGATGTTGTTGAGCCACGTCCCCGTCGTCTGGCCCACGCCACCAACCAGACGATGAACGGTCAGCGTAAAAGAGTAATGATAAATAAATAATGATTAATAATAATATGATCGTCTTCTCGGGCCACGGTACCAGGAAGGCCTTGATGCCCATGAACTGGAAGAGCTTGTCGGTTTGCATGTTGGCCAGGTAGGTCATCATCTTCGACTTTTGGTTGTGCACGTACGCGGCCGGAGCCAGCACTGTGCCGTGTTGTGTTTGAGCCTCGCGATGAGATGCGAAGGCCTGATTGCTTCGTGCGCGTGCGGTGGTGCATGTGTGCGTGTGCGTGTGCGGTCAGACGGTGTGTGTCGTGCGGTGTGGCGTACACAAGCCTATACTAATCTTGCTCCGCGTCTCGGGCTGGGTGGCCATCATGGCCAACAGCACGTTACAACCCTGCGAATGGCCTGGCCAGAGAGAAGAAAGAAATAAGAAACGAAGGGGTCGGCCCAACGCAGAGCACCATCAGAGCAGCCACCACGACGCGTGGCGTACGTACCGACGAAGACGAGGTGGGGCTGATGGGCGTAGTCCAGGGCGTAGTCGATGGACGCTCGGGCGTCCTTCACCAGGTCATCACGGTTGAAACTGTGCGCGCGCACGCGTGGAATAAATATGTGTGTTGGTGAGCGCCCGGGCCTCGGCCCAGTGGAAGAGTTGGGGTAAACGCGTACTTCCAGTACTGGGTGCTGTCCACCTTGAAGTGCGCATGCTCGCGGCTGAACCGATTGCCTCGAACGTTGCCCATCCACACATCAAACCTATAAGCCCGAGTGAGCAACACACGCACACGCACGCGCGCACGCACACACACACGCACGCGCGCACACGCACACGCACACGCACACGCACGACGGCACACACACCGGACACTGTTTGGTGGAGAACAAAAGAGAGCCAACGAACCCGTTGTCGGCAAAGATGAATCCCAGGCATTTGGCGGTTTCGTTCACGATCCACGTGACTGAACAATCCATGAGGCCGTGCATCAGGAACACCACAGGCCTGGCACACATCGCACAGACAATGAGTCAGCCTTCCATCGCACGCACGCACCGCACACACCACACACGCACGACCGCACACGCACACGCACAGGCATGCACACACCTTGGGCTGTATCCGGTCTCGTTTTTGCCGTGCGGGATGCGGAAGAGGGTGAGGATGTAGCCGTCGGGCGTGGTGACCTTGTGCTCCTCGATCGGGTAGCCCTTGCTGGTCACGAGCCCGAACAGGGTCAGCTTGGCCTCGGCCTTGCCCCGCCGCTTGCGCTCCTGCAGCTCGTCCCGGACCTCCTGCTTGAGCCGCCGCGCCCGCTGCTTCTCGGTCTCGCCGGGCACCACCGACGACAGGCCCGTCAGCAGGTCCGCCTGGAAGGTGGGCTCCGGCGGCGGCTCCGGCGGCAATGCGCCGCCCTTGGCCCGCGGCGACAGGGGCCGCTCCGCCTTTTCCTTTTCTTTTCCTTTTTCGTTTCCTTTGTCGTCGTCGAGTTCGGCCACTTCCAGCGCCCTCTCCTCCAGCAACGATTTCTGTGCCCACAATTATAAATTAGAGTTACATAAATAAATAACTTAAAATAACTTAAAACGAACGAATATATAAGTATAATATACGTTTATATACGATCTATATATTGATATATAGATAGTCGTACCCTCTTCGCGAGTCGGGCGGCGATGATGACTTCGTGGAGCGCGGTGACCCAGGCCTCGATCTCCTGCTTGCTCTCCGAGGCGAAGACCTGGGTGATGACGTTGGTGGTGAACTCCTTGCGCCGCACCTCGATCACGAAGCTGTAGAAGGCCACCGGCTGCGGGCCCGCGGAGTGCGCCGCCGGCGTACGCCGCAGGGTCATGGTCGACCCGCGCTTGATGGCCGACCCGATCCGGCTGCCGGTCTTGGTCGGCTTGCTCGCCTCGCCCTCGAGCTGGTCCCTCGCCTCCGATAGATCGCCCAGCGATTTGCGTCGCTTGTCTCCCTCCTGCGCCCCCGATGACGACGATGATGAACTGTCAACGGTGCTGCTGCTGCTGTCGCTCGGCTTCTCTTTCATCGTCGCCCGCGCGGACTTGGCTCTATCGGCTCCACTGTCTTGCGCCGCGCCAAGAGGCGGAGGCGGCACCATCATCACAACGTCCTACAACGAGCCAAGAGTCAGATCATCACCGCACACACCACACACACCGACGAGGTACCTTCTTCATGTAGACGTTGCTGATGTTGATGATCTCGAGGAAGGGCGAGAAGAACTCCTTGTTGGCCTTCTTGATCCAGAGGATGGTGGCGGTGAGCGAGAGGGCCACGTGCTGGGTCTCCTTGCGCGACTGGCGCCACACGAGGTCGCCCTCCTTGACCGCCTGCCGCTCGATCTTCTTCCGGGCCAGGCCCAGCGTGTGCCACCGCCTCAGCTTCCGCTCAGCCGCTGGCGATTCCTCCGCCTAATGCCAGGGGCAGCGCAACACCAGATATATTTTAAATACTACTAATCCTAATGTAGTATAAATTCCGTAGTACTTTCAGACTATATATAATATTTTGGTGAGGATAATACGTATTATTATAATATTTAGAAAAAAAATGGAAGAGAGGTGATTAAAAAACGTACGACCGCGTCGATTGGGGTGGAGTGCGTGCCACGATCCTCCTGTGCTGCCTCTTCCTTCTTCTCATCGGCATGTTTTGTTTGCGAAGATGCTGGTTGCGTGAATTCCTCATCAGCGAGGGGTCCACCACCTGAATTCTTGCTCCTTTTGCTCTTCTTGCTCTTGTTGCGCTTCTTCGTGGGCTTGTAGCGGGGGGACAAGACCTTGTACTTGTCATCTTCCTCCGGCACCACCACGCGTGCAACGTCGCCAGCCTCCAGTTTCGCCGCTGGCACATTGCCCCGCAGCCCTTCCAGCGTCAACCCTCTCTCCATCTTCGCCATCTTGAGGCGCTCCAAGTGTGCACTTCTCGAATGCGAGATTGACTTCGTAGGTGTGCTGCGCAGTTCCGGAGAGCCTTCATTTTTGTCGACGTGAGATCTCGTTTCCTTCGTTTTATTTTTTCTTAAATAATTTCTCTTAGACCTTTTAACGCACGATCGTGGCCAGACGTGGCGAAGGGGGGCGCTGCCCCTTTACCCCGCTACGGCGGGTACTTCGCCGTCAAACGAATAAACAAACAAACAAACAAACGCACGATCGTGGAGGGCTACGCGAGCTCGCACATGAGGCTGAAGTGGTCGCTCGAATAGAGGGCCGAGGGCAGCCCGCTCCCCTCGGCCAGGCGCGGTATCGGCACCAGCGCCCGCACGCGCATGGGCGAAGCGGCGGGCCACAGGATGTAGTCCACCACCTGCGCCGAGTGCGGCAGCAGCGTCGTGTATGGCGGCTCGCCGCTCGCCGTTGTCGTCGCCGTCGTGGCTCCCTCCTTCACCTCATCGGCCGCGGTCTGTTGATGCAACGCATAGGCACTGCGCCATGGCGTGGTCTGCTGGGTCTGGTCGCTGGTCGCGGCCGGCCGGCCGGCGGCCGGCGACTTGACGGCGCCGCCACGGTTGCCCCTGGGGCCGTTGGGTCGAGCGGCAGGGGGACGGGCTTGGCCGGGCGATGTGAGAAGGGCGTAGATCGAGGAGTCGGGCGTCGAGTTGAAGTCGCCACACAGCACGATGGGCACATTCTCCTGGCCCAGCTCGGCTTCCTTCGCCTTCTTCCACGCATTCACGGCACTGTGTGGCGTAGAGCGATCGCGAGTAATAAGAAGAAGAAGAAGAACAGAACGACGGAGGCTATCAATGACGAAAAGGAAAGAAACCTGAGCAGCTCTCGAGTTTGCTTGTGGCGAATGATTTCGGCGTCGTCGAACCACACCGAGAGGTGGGTGGTCGCAACCAAGAGCGGGCTGTCGTCCTCCTCCACTATGGTTGTGCGCGCACAGCAAGTGACGTGACAGTGGTCACGTCGTCAACAATGATGAGGGCCTGTAGCGCTGTTTCAGTGGTGGTGGAGAGGAAGGTACGAGGCATCAGCGGCACCAGGAGAGCCACCGTGTCGAATCCCAAATCCAACTCACAGACCTCGCCTACGTAGTACCTGTCACGCCCATGCACGGCCATCACAAAACGAAGAAGTGAGTGATGTTACACAGAGTAAAAGGTGCCATGTGGCAACCGCCTACGTACCGCTCCCTGTTGTAGAAGAGCGCGCAGCCGTCCCCCTTCTCCCTCTTCTTGTACACTCCGCTGTAGGTCTTGCTCAGGTAGGACAGGTACTCCTGGTACTTGTCCACCTCCTGCAGTGGCCACACACACACACACACACACACCACCACCACCACCACCACCACCAGCACACACACAGCACACATCAACAAGACGCCGTGTGCATGTCAGCACCGCCAGCCGGCTAGCTCACCCAACGCAGCGCGCGGCCGCACCTGCAGGCAGGCCACGTCCGGGGCCAACGCCTCGATCTCCCGCGCTTGGTTGGCCAGCCTGACCCAGCAAGCACGCCACGGCCCCGTCAGGCCTCGTCGTGCAGAACCGGGTTGATGATGAAGAGGAGGAAGGGTACCGGTAGGGGAAGAGCATGTGCTGGGTGTCGCAGTGCGGGTAGAAGCTGAACGAGCACGTCGACTTGAGCACGTTGTAGGTCATCACCTTCACGCTCTTCCGCAATGCTCGCCCACCAACGCTGCAGCCTGAACACGCGTCGGGTTGTAATTATTTTGAATTTTGGTTACTTTTTGTTTATTTTTTTATTAATTCTGTACGGGGGTGGTCGCTACCAGCAGGGAGCGGCACTTCCTGTAGAGAGCGAGGGAAGGCGGGCAAGGCGGAACTGGCCGCCTTGGTCCCTTTCGTTGCTGGCGTGGGCGCAGCATTCTTCTTGCCCGGCGCGGCACCCTTCTTCTTCATCTCACGTGCTTGTGTCAATCCTTCGTTTCTTTCTTTCTCTGCTTGCTTTGCGCTCAACCTCTTCTCTGAAATGGATCTGGGCTTCTTCTTCGTTCGCCAGGGCACGACGCATCGAGCGTGGAGGCAAGAAGGAAAGGGTTGTGTATTGATTTGTGCAAAGAAAGATGAACCTTGTGCGGTGACTACGAGAGGAGAGATGAAGTGTGCATTGGAAAGTGAGAGCTCGCTTCCGAGTGGAGGATTGATTACAGAACGCGGGGCGCGGAGCAGAGCTTAGAGCTTGGCACCGGCGGCGACGAGGCCGTCCCTGATGCGGGCGCCGTAGTCCTTGTCGGCCTTGGAGAAGATCTCGACCATCTTGAGCTGGATGTCCTTGCGGGCGTTCTTGAGGTGGCCGACGATGTTGTTGACGAGCCTGGTCCTCTGCTCGGGGGTCATGACGTTGCGGTAGAGGTTGCCCGGCTGGACAAAGTCGTCGTTAGGATGGTTGGGGCGGTGCCTGGCGACGGGGCCGCTCACGTCGAACGGGTGGGTGTCCAGGGTCTGCGGGCAGGGCGCGGGGCTGCCCTCCACGCTGTTGGGGAAGTAGTTGGGGGCGCTGCCCTGGTTGCCGTTGACGGTCATGCCGCCGTCCCTCTCCTGGTTGCGGACCTTGGTGGCGAAGGGCGCGTTGATGGGGATCTGGAGGTAGTTGGTGCCCAGGCGGTGGCGGTGGGTGTCGTTGTAGGAGAACAGACGGCCCTGGAGCATCTTGTCGGGCGAGGCCTCGATACCGGGGATGAGCGACGCGGGCGAGAAGGCCGACTGCTCGACCTCGGCAAAGTAGTTCTCGGGGTTGCGGTTGAGCACGAGGCGGCCGAAGGGGATGAGCGGGTAGTCCTTGTGCGACCACACCTTCGTGACGTCGAACGGGTTGAACTTGTACTTCCACGCGTCCTCGTACTCCATCACCTGAATGAAGGCCCTCCACGCGGGGAACTCACCTGCAGCCACAAAGCCCGACCAATGAATGTCAGCGTGCCGGTAAGAACAAGACGGTGAGCGCTCAGAGGCGTTGAAGAGGGTACCCTTGGCAATGGAGTTGAAGAGATCCTCAGTGGCGTGGTCGGAGTTCTCGCCGGCAATGCGGTCGCCCTCCTCCTGGGTGAGGTTCTCGATGCCCTGCTCGGTCTTGAAGTGGAACTTGACCCAGTACTGCTTGCCCTCCTTGTTGACCAGCTTGAAGGTGTGGCTCGAGTAGCCGTTCATGTGGCGGTAGTCCTTGGGGATGCCGCGGTCGGAGAACAGGATGGTGACCTGGTGAAGGCTCTCGGGGGTGAGCGACAGGAAATCCCAGAACATGTTGGCATCCCTGAGGTTGGTCTGAGGGTTCCTCTTCTGCGTGTGGATGAAATCTGTTCAAAATTGAAACCAATTTGGTTAGTCGAAATAAAAATTAGCGTGGGCAGCAGATTCTGCACAAAAAATCGAGCGCTGACTTCAAAGTTGCAAATAAAAAAATTAAGGAGTAAATGATGCGCACCAGGGAACTTGGAAGGGTCGCGAAGGAAGAAGACGGGCGTGTTGTTGCCAGTCATGTCCCAGTTGCCCTCCTCAGTGTAGAACTTGACAGCGAAACCGCGAGGATCACGCGCGGTATCGGCCGAGCCCTTCTCGCCACCGACCGTCGAGAATCGGGTGAAAATGGGGGTCCTCTTGCCCACGCGGTTGAGGAACTTGGCCTTGCAGTACTTGGAGATGTCGTGGGTGACCTCGAAATAGCCGTGCGCACCGGCGCCCTTGGCATGGACCACACGCTCGGGAATCCTCTCCCTGTCGAAATGCGCCAGCTTATCAACGAGCTGGTAGTCCTGAAGCAGGAGCGGGCCGTCGGGTCCAGCGCTCAGGCTGTTGTTGTCATCATGCACAGGCGAACCGTGCGAGGTGGTGAAAAGGGGCCTCTGCGCCATCTCTCTTGCTTCTCTCGATCGATTGATACAACAGACTTATGCGGCGGTGACGTACACCCTACTGTGGGAATTATCGGCTACCCCAACCCGTCAAATTTCTCAGCCACTAGAAAGTCAAACATGGCTATGATTTTGATTAATGATTCGCTTGTCGACATATGGCGAACCTGGAAAATCGCGAGCAGCCTCCGGCTGGTTGCTGGCATGACGTCAGCGTGACTGTGGTACATCCAGAAAAAACCCTAGAATGTCTTTTTGGCCTTTTGAGAAAAGAAAACAATAAAATAAATTAATCAACTTAGCTGCATCTTCATCTTCGCGACCGGAAAAATGGAAGCGCCTGCATCGTCTAGCACCGAAGGGGGCGGTCCCTTGCCCGCGGCCCCGTTTCGGCTCAGGCCGCTCCCGAGCGCAACCTCCATCTCATTCGCCGTTCCGTCAACGGAGGAGGCCCAAGCTGCTCTGGCCAAGCGAAATGAAAGTGGGGATCTCGCCGTCAGCATTCAGTACCTCTCTCATCTCTCCTCCGAGTGATTGCAACCCACCTCTTCTTCTTTAATCATCGATTGCTCTACTCTCGCGCAGGTATCTTCGTGCCATGAAAAAGAAGGAGGAAGCGAGCACAGAGGCTGACGCCGAAGGCGATGGCGACAAGAAGCGAAGTGCCGAGGACATGAAGGAGAAGGTGACTCCACACTGTTCTATGTTCGGTGGTGTGTGCGTGTGCGTGTGTGTCGTGTGTCGTGGGGTCAGCGCGAGCTTTGCTCATCGCGGCGCTCTGCTGGATGATCGACAGAGCCAGCCACTGTCCAAGCGACAGAGGGTCAAGGAAAAGGAGAAGAGGCGGAAGGACAGACACACCCTGGGCAAGGACAAGCTGTGCTTCGCCATCGCCGAAGGCAGGACCTGCCCCCACGGCGACATCAAGTAAACCCTGCCCCCCCCCCAAACCCCTCGTTCCATCACACCACACGCAACCACCAAGCCGTCGTGTCACCACCAAACCAACCCAACCCAACCAACAGGTGCAAGTTCTCGCACGACGTGGCAGCGTTCCTGGCCGCGAAGCCGGCCGACATCGCCGACAGGTGCCCCATGTTCGAGGAGACCGGTAACAAAAAACTGCTCACACCCGTCTTCACATGGTCTGCTGCATCCCTCTCACGCGTTATGCAATGCTTCTTCTTCTTCTTCTTGTCTTCTATCGGTGCAGGCCGCTGCAAGTACGGTCTCGTGTGCCGCTTCGGGTCCTCACACATCAAAGACAACAAAAACGTCATCAACGAAGAGGCACGCACCTCTCCCATCGTCACACACGCACACGACCGCACACGCACACGCGCACACGACCGCACACACGCACACACGACACCTGGCCGACCGACGTTTACTGCGGTTTACTTACTTGCACCGCACGTGCAGCTGGCATCGAAGCCGCACCCCGAGTCGGTCAACTTCCTCGACAAGGACGTGCAGGTCAAGCTGCGCAAGCGGCAGTACGACTTCTCGCGCGCGGTGCCCTACCTGCGCCAGTGGACCCGCGAGACGAAGCAGCGCGTGCAGGACAACAACGTGCCTGTCAGCGAGCGCGCGGCGGGCGAGGGCCAGACGAGCGCTTCCGACGGCGCCGACGCCCAGGCCGCGGCGACCATGGACGTCGAGGCCGCGCCGCAGGCAGAGCCGGCGGACAAGGGTAAGGAAAAGGAGAAGGCAACGGAGGCCGAGGCCGAGAAGATGGAGGAGGAGAGGAGGGTCAAGATCGAGCAGAGGCTTGAGTTCGTGGAAACGCCGCTGAGGCGGTGGAAAAGAAGAAGGTGCGTTCTACCTCGTGTGTGTCGTGTGTCGTGTGCGTGTCCGTGTTGCGCGACCGCGCGCTGCTTGCGGCTGGTCCTGTGCTGATCATTGTGTGTGCCATCACAGATCGACTGGAACGACAAGTTGTATCTCGCCCCGCTCACCACTCTGGGAAACCTCCCTTCCGCAGGTAACACACGACACGACACGACACGACACGACACGACACGACACGACACGACACGACACGACACGACACGACACGACACGACACGACACACACACGACACGACACGACACGCACCTAAACAAACAAACGATTTTTTCTCGTCTCTACGCCGTCCAGGATCTGCAAAACTCTCGGCGCGGACATCACTTGCGGTGAGATGGCCCTCGCCGAGAACCTGCTGCAGGGCCAGCCGTCGGAGTGGGCGCTGCTGAGGCGCCACCCGTCCGAGGACATCTTCGGGGTGCAGCTGTGCGGGCCGCACCCGGACCACCTGACCAAGTGCGGCCAGGTGCTCGATGAGACCATTTCGGTCGACTTTGTGGACATCAACTGCGGCTGCCCCATCGACCTCGTCGTCAACAAGTACGTACACGACCCATCAACCTCAACATCGTCATTGATCGCTCCTTCATCGTTAATCAACCGATCGTCGTCATCGTCATCGGCATCAGGGGTGCGGGTTCGGCGCTCTTGGACCGGCCGCGTAGGCTGGAGGGGATCGTGCGGGGCATGGCCACGGTCCTCTCGTGCCCGCTGACCGTCAAGGTGCTGCTGCTGCTGCTCTGCCTGCTCGCCCACCCGCTCTCCCACGCGCGCTACCACCTCGTCGCCCCGCCCCGCCACAGCTGAAGCTTTTCGGTGCTCACGCCCGGCGCGCGCAACAGATCCGAACGGGCAAGGACGAGAAGGCGCCCAACGCCCACAAGCTCATTCCGCTACTGGCCGAGTGCGGCGCCGCCGCTGTCACGGTACGCGCGCCGCTCGCTCGCGCGCCCGCGCGGCTGCTAGGGTCCCTGTTGTCCGCTGACACGGGGTTGGGGGGGGGCACGTTCAGCTGCATGGTCGCTCCCGTTTGCAGCGCTACTCGAGGGAGGCCGACTGGAGCTACATCCGCCAGTGCGCAGAGACCTCGCCCATCCCCATAATCGGTATCGTGCACCGCCCACACACGACACACACGACACACACGACACTCGAGCTGAGAACTCACGCGGCCGTGCGCTGTGTGCGCTGCCGGTGGTCTAGGCAACGGAGACATCTACGGGCCGCAGCAGGCGGCCGAGGCCAAGGCGGCTGGCGTGTCCACCATCATGGTGGCCCGTGGCGCGCTCATCAAGCCCTGGGTGTTCACCGAGATCAAGGAGAACAGGGACTGGGACATCTCTGCTACGGAGCGGTTCGACCTGCTGAAGGACTTTGTCAATTTCGGGCTCATGCACTGGGGCTCGGACGACCAGGTCCCACACCTCTCTCACACCTTTTGACCCTCGAGGAGTGATTCGCGCTGACTATGCGTGTGTTGGGTGTCTGGCTGCAGGGCGTGGCGACGACGCGCGAGTTTTTGCTGCAGTGGCTGTCGTTCCTCCACCGCTATGTGCCCATCGGCCTCCTCGAGGTGATGCCGCCGAAGCTGCATCAGAGGCCGCCTCCCTTCTTCGGCCGCAGCGACTTCGAGACCTTGCTCGCCTCTCCTGTCGTCAATGGTACTCACGTGTGTGTTGTGTGTGTGTGTGTGTGTGTTGCTGATGTCCTCCCTTCGTGTTCTGCTGGTTTGTGCTGCCAGACTGGGTGTCGATCAGTGAGATGCTGCTGGGGCCGGTGCCCGATGGCTTCACCTTCACTCCCAAACACAAGTCCAACGCCTACAATGCCAACATTGAAGGATAGAATGTTAGATCCAATAATATAAAGTCCTTCCTGCCTGTTTGAGAGCTCTATGTCCTGGGGTGCAAACTTTCATTGTGTGACCCTTATGCTGGATGGTGGAGCACCAGTGGCAAGCAGTGGACAGCCTGCCAACCCTTTGATCACTGCCTGCACCACAAGTCCATCCTCTTCCATTAGGACAATGTCACCGCAGTGGTGTATCCTATTTTCGTGGTAGCGGCAACTCCAACAAAGCTTGAACAAAACGCGAAGACAGGCTGCCACTCCTCGATTAGAAGTGAGCAGGGACAAAATATTTTGCGCCGACGGTGGGGCTCGAACCCACGGCCACCAGGTTAAAAGCCTGGCGCTCTACCGACTGAGCTACGTCGGCTTCTTCAAATCGTGGGATCCTCGCGCCCAGCGAAATTCGTCCTCCACACGTGTGGTGTTCTGATTCAATGTTTTGCACTTCTACTTGGAGGAAGGAGATCAAGCGTGCACCGAACAAAAAGGTCCAAGAGGAGGACGAGAAAAGCGTAGAGGGTAGGGACAGGATAATCTTCGGGCCTGCTTGCTTGTGGGTGTGGTGTAGTGGAGTCGGAGTTGTGTTGTTGGCCTTTTGGTCGTATCCACACGGCAGAGTGTTCAGACAGCGACAACGGCAGTATCATTGGAGAAGTGAAACGTTCTACGACCAGCTCTCCATCGAGTTGAAGAAATCCGTCGCCATGCTCGCCAGCTGAAAGCAAAGCCAAAGAGTCAGTTGGAGGCGAAAAGTGACAGAGCGCGGAGAATGGCACACGCACCTTCTTGGTGCCCTGCACCACGGTGTCCTTGACGGCGTTGAGATCGGTCTGGGCGTTCCAATTGCTCATGTCGCCGCCGCCTGTGTCGCGATGAGGCAGCCAGGTGAGTAAACAAGGCGCAGAGACAAGACGAACTAAACATCAAAAAAGATATACATACCATTTTCCTCTTCCCTGCCAAAGTATTGGGCCGAAGAGATCGAGTTCGCCTGTGAACGGTGGAATGAAGGCAATGCCATGTGAGAACCCAATGGGTGCCAATCTGATGACCACAAGAATT